TCCTGTTCATCTTGGAGTCCACTAGGACTCCAAGATCCCTTTCCACTTCCGTGCCACCCAGCAGGTCATTCCCTAGGCTGTAGGTGTGCTGGACATTTTTCCTCCCTAGGTGCAGCACTTTGCATTTCTCCTTGTTGAACTGCATTCTGTTGTTTTCTGCCCACTTGTCTAACCTGTCCAGGTCTGCTTGCAGCTGTTCCCTGCCCTCCAGCGTGTCCACTTCTCCCCATAGCTTTGTGTCATCTGCAAACTTGGACAGAGTACATTTCACTCCCTCGTCCAAGTCGCTGATGAAGACATTAAAGAGTATCGGTCCAAGGACTGAGCCCTGCGGGACCCCACTGCCCACACCCTTCCAGGTCGAAGCTGACCCATCCACCACGACTCTCTGGGTGCGATCCTCCAGCCAATTTGCCACCCACCGGACTGTGTAGTCATCCAAGTCACAGCCTTTTAACTTGTTCACCAGTATGGGGTGGGATACCATATCGAAGGCCTTCCTGAAGTCTAAGTATACGACATCCACCCCTCCTCCTGTGTCCAGGCGTTTCGTAACCTGGTCATAAAAAGAGACTAGATTGGTCAGGCACGATCTGCTTGCCACAAACCCGTGCTGGTTTCCCCTCAGCATAATTTGTCCTGCTGGGCTCTCGCGTATGTGAGCCTTGATAATTTTTTCAAAGACTTTGCCAAGGATGGAGGTGAGACTGACTGGCCTATAGTTGCCCGGGTCCTCCTTCCTCCCCTTCTTGAAAATGGGGACCACATTGGCCCTTTTCCAGTCCTCTGGGACTTGGTATATATTACCACATCTTTGACTTCCTCTTGCTTTAAATGTTAGTAGGTTCTTATGTTCCATCCTAGGTGTCAGTTAGTTAAGCTGTGCACATATTTGGAAAGAAAATAAAAAAACCCCCAAACCCCTACTATTTTTGATTAATTCAATTTCTCTTGGGTTTTCCCTCCTGTTCATTTTGCTGTTGGCCTCTGAACTCTACAATTCAGGGATTTCTTTCTGCCAGTGAGGTTGAGAATGCCAGGGCTTATAGTCTTGCCACATGGTAATTATCTTTCATTTCCTTACGATTCCCAACAGAGCAACCCATGCTATTTAGGAGGGAAGAAAAACCAAGCTCTTCTTGGTTTTACATGGCAGTTACAAAAGCAAATTGCTCCCTTCCTTACCTTGCCATCTTGTCTCTGTCTGTGCACTATGCATTGGGTTCTTGCTCTCGTGTTCCTCATTACTTTGTTTATTATTTTGCTCCCAGGGTGCAGAAGCAGCTAATGTGACCGGTCCAGATGGGGTCCCTGTAGAAGGCAGCCGCTATGCTGCAGACCGACGTCGTTACCGACGTGGCTATTATGGCCGGCGTCGTGGACCACCTCGTAGCGTAAGTTGACCTCCATCCCTTAGTTCCAGTTACCCTATTTCAGTTTCAAATCTTGAAGCAGCTGTCCACCTTTTGTGCAGGGGGACTCCAAATTTAGTTCAGTGCTATGTTCTGGTGAAGAGCAAACCCATGTTTAAGTTCAGCTAAGTGTGTCCAGTGGTTCTGCAGAACCTATGAAAAAGGTCAAGGAAATAATCTACAAACTGGATAGTCTCCATTCTACTGCTGTGGGGAAGGCTGGCCTAACATAAAACAAAGCACTCTTGAGTCTGCCTAGAGCCGTTTAGCAGACACCACTTATGGTAGCACCACTTTATGCTGGTGGATCCCACCAGCATGGATTGATTTCAGAAAAGAAAGGGGAATGTTGACCTGTCATGAGATTCGACACATTCATGTGCCTCCTGAATCTCAGCTGGTTTCCACTCCCTTCAGTAGTGGCCTCTATGGCTTGGACTGAGTCATGTTTCCACCTTCAGGATGCACATTCACACTTACTTGTTTCAACCAGCACACAGAAGATGCACGAGCTTCATGGTAGGTTAACACTTCTTTGAATATCCTCCATAGTGCAGCTAATGATTGTGGCAGCACAAGAAGAGAAATGCGCATTATACCCCGTCTGGACAACTGATTGGTTAAAATGGAGGTTCATCCCTCAGTCAACTTTTTGGTGCCATTTGGTACACACATTGCCTGTTCCAGGAACTCGTGCTTAAAAGGAAATATTTAGAAGTTGAATCTCTCTCGCTTATCAAGGTTACCTATACTCCAGGACGTAAGCAACCAGATCATGCAATTGGGGTCTAACCCTACTAGCACAGTAAGATCTTCTCACCCTGCAGTTTATATGGTTTCATGTGTCTTCCTGCTACTGCCATCAGAACCTGCAAGTCTGGTTAAGATGGGGGTACGCTGGGCCAACATCTGCTATGTCTCTGAATGCGTTTTTCCCCAACCCAAACTTGTCCCTGAAATGCTGTAAAGATCTGACGAATGTTTGGAGAGTACCTGTAACTTCTTCACTTCCACTACTCCACAGCTGAATTGACAGATGCCCTGTTTCCACTAAGTGGGAGTACATATGGATGGTCTCCATGTGCAGGGTGTATGATTCAAACAGGAAGTGTTGGATGCATTGCCCTCTTAGAACTTGAGACCATCTGCAAGACCCTACAGCTTACTTAAGGTGATTTGGTACAGATGATGGCATGCTATGTAACCTGTAGAGGTGGGATCCTTGCCCTGACATATGACCATAAACCAATCAAACTCTGGAACCAATGCATGGGGCACTAGTTGACCTGTTGCATAGTGTATTGACTTGTGTTCTGGAACATCCTGAAAGATGATTTAAGCTTGTGCTTCAATAGGTTTCTCAATTCAGAGCATCTCCTTGGACAAAGTTGTCCTCTGTATGCTCTTGACTTGTTTAAAAAAGAAAACAAAAAAACTAAACCCAACAGTAATGTCATGCTGTGTGGGCCAGGCTCCTTTGGTGGTGGGAGAGAAGGACAGGGTCGAGGAACTGCTGTGTACTTAACATCAAATTGGTTCCGATTCCCAGAGCACTCTATAAGATCAGATGAGACTTTGCCAAAACCTCCTTGCTAGTGCCAGGTGGCCTAGATGCTTCTTTGTTCTGAATTAAGTCAGTTCAACCAAGTCAATGACACATCCTCTGTTTCTGTATCTATGGGTGTGTCTACACAAGAAATTTACTGTGGAGCTGCCTAATTAGCTCTGCAGTAAAATCCCGGCACCTACATGTGCAACCCTATAAACTAACTCTGACGTAGATTAGTACTTGTAAATACAAGAGCTGTCTTGCAGCGGACTTCTTTAGTACGCAGCAACATGTGTAGATGCTGGCTAGGGCACGAAGGTGCTTCAGTGCAGGGGCTGCCTGCCGGCTAGTCCCACACTGGAGCAACCTTATGCTCCAGCCAGCCCCTACGCAGCATGTTCAGCCGGTTTGGAACAGCCCTGTGCTGGCAAACTGATCCCTTTGGGCCTCCTGCCAGCTGGCTGCTCTGACCTGGCTCAGTGTGCTGTGGTCCTGCACCCAGGAGCAATAAACTCTGGTGCGACATGCTGGAGTTTATTAGTTCACATTAATTTCGTGTGTAGATGTGCTCAGTGTGGAACACAGTAGAGGTATTGTCCAAAACCCAGACCTGAAGACTCTATCCTGCTGCATGGACAGCTGTGGAGTGCAATACAGTCCTGTTCTCTCCTAGTTGATAACGCTGTAAGCAATAAAATAAAAGTTTCTTTGAGGCTTTGACTTGGTGAAATGGGTGAGATTCTTTTTCTTGTTGTAGTGGAAAAATCCCTTTGCAAGACATGCATGTAATCTTGAACTGCCTGTTACAGCTGAAACAGTGTGTCCTGTCCTTAAGCCCATCATTTACTAAATGGAGTTAAAGGGGAAGGGCAAGTATTTCCCTTCCCTGTTGGACTGAAATTCTAGAAAGTTGTAACTAAGGATCCAGCCTACCAAGAGACTTCAACTTAACCCTTTTTAGTTTTCATGGAATTCTCATATGAACCAACATCAACATGCTCTTTCCTATACCTGTCTGACTGACTGAGCTGCTGTCTCAGCATGAAGGATGGGAGCATTTCAGGCCTAGTGACATACCCACCCTGTATAGTTTTTCTAGTTAGATACACAGGGTAAGAACATGGCCTATATACCTTTTTGAATGTGGTTATAGATCTCCACCTGAACCAACAACAGTTGCATTTTCCCAGAGTAGTATTCCTGAAACGATATGCGCCTATTACAGGGGCATCTCTCCAGATCTTGGGCATAAAATGAACTATATAGAATTTTACTTACAAAGGCCAACACCATTTAGATTAGCTCAGAAACCTAGAGCCTGTGGGTTGGATCTAGCCTGCAAAAATCTGATATGGTTCAGGGTATTGGCAGCATGCACATGAACTGTGCTACATATTTCCTCTGCAACACCCTCCTCTGTAGCTGGCTCTGCTTCTGTTCTGCATCTGTTCTTACCCTTGCCACAGGGTTTGCCCTTCTCAGTCACTGTTGAGGACATGGGTCAGTGGTGAGGATAAGTGCAGCTAGTCCTCAGTGCACCCAAGCTGAAGTCTAGAAGCAGCTGTTTATGGTAGCAAAAGCTTGCTCACCCCTGGTATAGATTGACTTGCATTTCCAGAAGTCAGAACAAAGGTGACAGCAATATGCACTACACTTATGGTTTGGGGGGAATCCTTTGTATGCCCTACATATGTAGGTTAGTCCAGGTGGAGACTGAGAACATGCTGTGTGCTAGTCACAGTTGACTTGCTTAAAACTTTGAGAAGGTGCTCCATCAGAGGTTAGGCAAGACTACCAGCTTTGTGGAAAATCTACCCAACAGATGTTTCTAAAGCAGCTACCTAGAGCCCTAGTGATGTGTTCATAAGATGTTACGATGTCTGCAAAAACTATAAATTGGACGTTGCATGCTGCAGAGTTGTTTTTCAGTCATAGTTACATGCAACACTGAGACTCAGCTTTGCTCAAATTAGTTTACTGTTTTAGTCATGAGGTGGGTAAGAACAGCCTTCAACTACCTGAAGAAGGGTAACAAGGAGGGTGGAGCTGGACTGTTCTCAGAGGTGGCAGATGACAGAGCAAGGCACAGTAGTCTCAATTAGCAGCAAGGGAAGTTTAGATTAAATATTAGGAAAAACACTGGAACAGATTACCCAGCGAGGCTATGGGGTTTCCATCCTTAGAGGTTTTTAAGGCACAGGTAGACAAAGCCTTGGCTGGGATGATCTAGTTGGGGTTGGTCCTGCTCTGTGCAGGGGGTTGGACTAGGTGACCTCCTGAGATGCTCAGCATCATAGAAAATTAGGGTTTGAAGTTAATGGAATATCTGTATGGCAGTTGTTGAAGGAGAATGAGAAGTTAATTGCTGGGCAGTAATTGAGTTATTTAAAATATATTATCAATACATACGTTCTGTGATTTGATCTTTTGTCCTCTCAGCCTTGCAGCTCTGTTCACCAGGGGATTCTGTAGCTGAAAAGATACAGAAACTTGTTATTCTGATTCGTGTGTGTGTGTGTGTGTGTGTGTGTGTGTGTGTGTGTGTGTGGCATGAGAGCTCGGGTTGCTTTATCATTTTTAGAGATGTTATCCATGTGTACATTGTCACTGGGAGGCATGCATCTCATGGCCAAGCTAAGAGGCATCTTGGCCAGCAGTCCTCATACAACATGTCCACGCCTCAAGAATCCCTATGTATGCCTGACACTTATGTGGGGGGGCGGGGGTGGGGGGCAGGGTGTACGTGCCCCCGCCCCCCAACATAAGTGTCGGGCATACATAGGGATTCTTGAGGCGTGGACATGTTGTATGAGGACTGCTGGCCAAGATGCCTCTTAGCTTGGCCATGAGATGCATGCCTCCCAGTGACAATGTACATATGGATAACATCTCTAAAAATGATAAAGCAACCCGAGCTCTCAGGCCACGTTGCACCCTGTAATCCTCCATTTTGCTGCATAGAGGAAAGATAACCTACTGATGAAGGTTGACTAGTTCTGTTCTCTCAGAGCGCCATGGTTAAAAGTCAAACTGCTTCTGGATCTTTCTTAGTTCCTGTCAAGTGCAACTTCAGGTGATAGGTCTAAATTACTGCATATCGTTCTGACTGGAACAATGGCACCCAACCACTTCTAGACTGGACTGCAGGCCCACTTCCTAAATGTGTTGCTCAACAGGCCCAGCAGAGTTTGATACTTTCCAACCTTTCTCTCTAGGGACTTCTGGAGCAGCTGCTGTGCAGAGTGACTCAAACAACTTTTTCAAAACAATGCATTATTTATTAACTTACCCCAAGGTACAAAGTGTGCACAGCCCAGGGGGTAATACAATAGAGTTCTATATCCATGTTTCCTTGTACCTGCACCATAACCAATATTACTTTCTTTCAAGTCATCTTATAAGTTCCCTTCAACCCAGCCATGCCTACCCCTAGCTGGGAGAAGCTGGTTTTGTACATCTCCTTGCCAGCCTTTGCTGACACACCAGGCAGTCTCTGGCCACCTGGTTACCCCCACTCTTTCTAAGGCCACAGAGTACTTTAATGTTCCCTTTGATCTTTCTTTCTAGACTCTTGGCAGAGCAGCTGTGTCCCTAGGCTTGGGGTCACAGAGTCACTTTTAACACCTGTAAACCTGACTAGTGTACAAGCATGTGTTTTGAGATGCTCCTCACTTAGGCTGTTATGTTGCCTTCTCAGTTTGATTCTTCTAGCAGTCCCCATGTTCTTACTCTTAGGTGGTCCTTTTCCCTTGCTTTATGCGGGGATGATTTGGAATATTGTGATTACTTGACTTGCAACATACAGAGCCTCCCTCTGAAAAGATGACAAAGGCCTTACAATGACCTGGCTGCTTTATCTTCAGAGCCTTTCTCATCTCTTTGGGGGGGGGGGGGGGGGGGGGGGGGTGTATGTGTGTGTGTAGCTGAAACTGAGAATGCAATAACTGCTGCAAGTTTTGTAAAAGAGATTCTCCGTAGCTCATCTTGGCTGCACAGATAGATGTGTAATTGATCTAGTAATAGTCTTGGCTGCAGCATGCAGACATGCGAGCTTTACTAGTGTGAGTCAGACTTTTGCAGCTGAAGCATGTTTTGATGAGGAATTGGGTATGCATGCATGCTGCTGGGATAGGCACTACCCTGTAGGCCTGTCACTAATATGGATGAAAGCATAAGGCTGGAGTAAGCTAATGACGGTGAAAATGAGCCCCATCTTGCCATTCTCCCTGTCAATTCAGTGCTTTGGTAAAGGAAGTAATTACTCCTTCAGTTACTGATGGGCATATTCTGGAGTTGTGCAGAACCTGCTATGCTGCCTATGGTACCAGACAGACCTTTTCCCACCTTGCCAGTTGGGAAAGACCTTTTGAGTATTGCTATCAGGCTTTACCCATGCTATCAACAGCATACAAGTAAAACGGTGCCTGGAAACTACAGCTCTCAGTTCCACTCTTCCTTTACTCCTCCTCACTGGGTCTGACTCTAGTTTGGCAAATGTGCTTTTCAGCAAAAAGATTCATGTAGTCATAATTTAATTTCCAATCTGATCCTCTGCTAGTGTGCTTCCATCCACACTGAACCAAAAAATAGTTCTTAAAAAAAATAACCAAACAAAGGCACATGCTTTAGTTTTGATAGTTGAGCAGTAATCGGAGAGATATTTCATTCAGAGTCTGTTTCAGGTATTTCAAGTCATGTGAGGATGGAGGGGCAGCAGAGCTGCTTTGTATGGTCAAGGAACAATCACAGAAATTCAGCTGTATTCCATCCCATCCCAAACAGTAGGGTTCATTCAGGCACTGGTAACTTCTCTCGCTATTTTAACATTTGGTGCAAAGAATGATTTGGAGGGGAACCAATGATAATTCACAATCGCTTCCAACATCCACTAACTCCATTGCTAGGATTTAAAGAGTGTTTGTTTCCTTCTGTGGCTAATCTAGTACTACATGGACCTCAGTTTGAGAAGCTAGGCTCTAGGTTTTTTTGTCTTTAATTTGGGTCCTCCAACATCTCCCAGCCCAGGAAAGGCAGGGGAAGAGAAGGGAAGAACCTGAGATCCCTGCAGCTTCTACCACCTTCAGTTGAAGAAGGAAAGTGTGATAGAAACTGTGAAATCATGGGAGTATTTTGGTGCATCCATTGCATTGTATACGTTATGATGGTACTATTCCCAAATGGACAGGAATAATATAATCCCACCTCCAAATAACTCCCAAGTCTCTCCTCCTGGTCTTCTACACCTTTCAGATAATTACCCTTACCAGGAACTTTCATTTAGCCATCTTCCTGTGGAAACTCCTCTGGTTACTTATCTGTCTTTGTCAGTCTTTCCATCTATAAATAGAATCATCTGGTGTGCCATTTTTTCTTGTGCATGTGCACCTCTATTTTTTTCAGTGAACTTTGATTCTACCCGTCCCAACTTTTAGCAGCTGCCTCTGTCACACTGCTAAAAATAAGTGGCATAGATGTATGTGGGCACAGCATGTGAAGTATAGCAAATGTCTTTAGGGTAGCTTTCTGTGCTTCTAAGAAACTTGGGAAGCAGAAAAGACAGGTGGGGAGGAAAATTTTTTTTTTTTTTTCATGAGTTTTAGTATTGGTTAAAAGAACTTGATTGTCAACTGTTGGAGGCCTGAGGTTCTGACTCCTTTCTGAAAATGGGGTGTGTCTGGAGCAGCAGGAATACAAGATCCCCAAATACTGGTTAGCTTTGCTTATGTATGTTAACTCTGTTCTCTAGGGAGCCTACACTCTGATCATCCTTTACTGAGGTTACCAGTTAATGATTTAGCGCTAAATGTGATGGTGGTGTGGTAACTGGCTTAGTAAGGGCTAGAATGGGACTCGCCAAACTCAGTTTACATGAAGCATTGGAGGTCTTATTGTTAGAACCCATGTTATAGAGACAAACGGCTTTGTATTCTATTCTCTGGTCCCATCCTATCAGAATAATGATCTAAGAAAATATTATAAAATGACATGGTAGCGTGGTGGCTAAAATTGTACCTTCTCATCATAAGGTAAAATTGTGGGATAAATATGTTACTATGGGACTGGCAGGATTGACTGTAAATAAACTAAATGCTTATACCTCAGTCAAATAATGACTTAAGGGGGCTATAATAACCATCTGCAAATATCTGAAAGCTGGAAATGCCAAGTAAGGAGAGGAGCAATCCTAGATTGCCAGCAGGGTGGTTAAGATGACTTAATAGGATTTTTTTTCTCTGTCACTTGGCGCTCGTGTGAAGTAATTGGCTTGATGCAGACTGGATTAGATAGGTTTTGAACGACTGGCACATGATGTGGGTCTATGTGGTCTGAATTAAAGTAGCTTGAGCTGGGTAGATTTGATGCTGAGTGAAAGGTGTTGGAATAAGTTGAAATAGGGACTGCATGAGTTGGAATAGTGACAGTGAGTGAAACAACTTGCCTTGAAACAGTTTTCAATTGTTTAAGGGTGAAGCCTAATCCTGCAAACTTTCATCATGTGGATAAGCTGTTTTAGATGAGGTAGTAAGTGGCACTATTTGTGTGTGAGATAATACTGGTATTTCTTACTGCAATTTTTGTTGCCTTGGATATTTTTTCAGAAGATGTAATGAAGCCAGAGACTGGCCTTTAACCCAGGGATTCTCAACATTTTTTTTTATTTTTTTTTGGGGTACCGGGACCTGTTTGTAAACATGTCCAGTCTTGACCTAGTACCCCTCACTCCTGACCTGCTGCCCCTAGGCCCCAGCCTCCCAGTATGTGGGGCAGGATGCAGGGTATGTGTTTAGGGGGAGGCAAGCAGCCCCTCACAGGTTGGAACTTTGCCAGCCTAGAAGGGAAAAGCCCCGGTTTCCCATGGTTTTTCTCTTTTAATGGAGAATCCATTTTAAAAGTTTGTTGATCTGTTTTTTACGTTTTTTGCAACTCTCTCATATATTCTTGCGACCCAAAAGTGGGTTACAAACACACAGGTTGAGAAACACTGCTCTAAACAGGCTCATTGCAGATTTAGTTTCCCAAATACACTTGGAAGTGGCACCTTTTCACTAATAGCTTTTTTTTTTTTTAAAGCACTTAATTTCACGATGAACAGTGCAAGAGTGTGGTGTCCTGGATAAAGCAAATCACTACCATGCATCATAGGGTTGCTGGAATGGATCTGAATTCTGGAAGAGGCTGTGGGAGAGGAATCATGGGGTGGAATATTCGGGACATCGCCTGCTCACCCTCCCTCTGAAGATCCACGCTACCACTGAGAGGGTCATTTCTGTTTCCTGCTTTCTGTTTTCCCAGTGAGAGAGCCTGCTGACTCTGCTGTTCTTCTAGATACGTTGCAAGTGCTCTGACTGATCTATCTGGCCTGATGGATCATATCATTAATCTTGCGTCGTTCAGCATACCATCGTGAACACCTGAGACAACTTCATCTGCAAAGAAGGAAAAGTCATCTAACATATTGGCTGACTTTAATACTATGAGATGTATTTAAAAAGGGATGTTCCTTCCTTTTCCCCATAGCTTATCAATTTCTGACTTGAAACGGGAGTTTTGAATAACCTTAATAGATAGACTGCACCTCCAGCTATATTTTCTGACTGACCTATAGCAGAGTTCCACAGCTCAACTATGAAGAGCCTGAATATGCATTTTATTTGATTTGTTCTGTGCGTTGGCTATCATGTTCTTTTTTTGTCTTATGATGACACATGGTCAAGATGGAAGGACTGACTGGCCTGTTTGGATCCTATATAGTTTAGAATATCACTGTCAAATATTCATTCTGCCCTCATTTTTTTTGGTCTCAGGGTATTGAAGGAGAGATCAAGGATGGGATCACAGAAGGAGCACAACTCCAACAGCCAATCCATCGGAATCCCACTTATCGGCCCCGCTACCGCAGGTAGATACAGTATGCACGCCATTAGCCAAACTGCCATTGGATTCAGGCATTCATGATCAAGGCGGATTGATTTAAATCCCCAAGTTAAATAATTGATTTTTTTATTAACTTTTTGTGTGTTTGTTTTAAAGAAAGGTGTGGGGTTTTTTTATTTTTTATTTTTTTTATTGGTTGATATAACAATTAAAACGGGCCGACTTGTAGCTAAATACAGTTTTTACAGTAAACTTGGTACATATGTTTCATAGGTACATAATCTGGATGAATATTAATTTTAAAAATATATAGCTTGATATATTTGGCTTGTTAGTATACTAAAATGTATCTGTATAAAATGGTGAAATACGTATTTCTTATTTGCTAGATGATTTTATTTTTTGCTTCTGCTTGGATTCAGAGTATTGCTAATGCATGGGTGTGTCCTACCTGTGGGCAGGACTGTCATTCGTGCATCAGACTCTGCAGCCATCAAAACTCATTGGTGTATACACCATGCTCTGTAAAGAATGACAGTGCCAATTGATTGATATTTATATCAAGCTGTATTAAGGTGAAATTGGCAGTCTTTTCCTCCAGTTTCTAGGTGTAAACTCCACAGAATGTTGTTCCATTTTCCTACACTGGTCTTGAGCCCAACCTTGGTCCTTTCTGTTGCATGCACTTATTTTCATAGCTTGATACTAAATATGTATCTTAACCTAGCACAGCATAGGTTCAAATTCCATCTTAAGATGGCTTATTTTTCAGAAGGAAAACTTTAATTATAATTAGAGTTAAAAATCAAAGAAATCTGAATTACAATTTTTTAAAAAATCATTGTTTTTTTTTGTCCACCCCGTTAATGATACTCTGGCAGTTATTAGTTCTAGAATTAAGTCTTTCACAAAGATGGGTGCCACAAGAAGCATTTTCATTTTATGGAGGAGGAAGCTTAGGCTCAGACTGGTCAAATGCTCTTTTTAGGGTGACACTATGTGCTAATAGCAGAGCCAGAAATGGAACCCAGATTTTGCAGCTCTTTTGTCCTCTTGCCTGGTCTTTGGATCATCTTACATCCAGGGGTGGATCCAGAAGAGATGGGGGAGCGGGGCATGCAGTTGTGCCCTCCCCTTTGGCTGTGGTGTGTGCACAGTGAGCTCTTTGAGCTCCTGGCTCATCAGCACATCTGCTGCTTGCCCCCACTTTTCCTGTGACTGATTTCAGTGGCAGGCAAAGAGGGGAGTGAGGAGTAGTGACATTTACCTCTTGGGTTCCAAATATGCACCAACCCAACCTCTGTCAGTTGTGCTGAACTTGAACTCTGTCAGTGAACTTGAACCTCTCTGTGCATGTGCTAGGCAGCTGAAAAAATGATTCCACACCCTATAATACCCTTTTCACTTGGGAAGTATAGTAGTTTCATGGTTTCATAGTAGTTTGAGGTCAGAAGGGACCTGAACAGATCATCTAGTCTGACTGCCCCCCCCCTGCCACTGGCAGGAGCACACACTGGGATCACGTGACTCCAGACAGGTGTTCCTCCAACTTCTTTTTGAATTTACCCAAGGTAGGAGCAAGGAACACTTCCCTAGAAAGTTGGTTCCAGATCCTAGCCACCCTAACAGTGAAATAGTGCCTCCTAATCTCTAACCTGAACCTATTCTCCAGCAGCTTCTGGCCATTGTTCCTCGTCACTCTGGGTGCTGCTGGGGGGGAGTAGGGCCCTTTCTACTTGCTGCTGATCTTCCCTAATGAGTTTGTAGGCAGCCACCAAATCCCCTTCACCCTCCGCTTGCTGAGGCTGAACAGGTTCAGGTCCCTCAGCCTCTCCTCATAGGGCCTGCCCTGTTGCCCTCCAACCAAGTGGGTGGCCCTCCTCTGAACCCTCTCAAGGCAGGCCACATCCCTCTTAAAGTGCAGTGCCCAGAACTGGACGCAGTACTCCAACTGTGCCCTGACCAGTGTCACGTAGAGGGGGAGTATCTCCTCTCTGGACCGGCTTGAGACGCATCTTTGGATGCATGACACGGTATGGCTGGCCTTGCTGGCTGTGGTCTGGCATTGGCGGCTCATGTTCATCTTGGAGTCAGTAATGACTCCAAGATCCCTTTCTGCCTCTGTGCTCACAAGGGGGGAGCTCCCCAGCTTGTATGTATGTTGTGGATTGCTTTTCCCCAGGTGCAGCACCCTGCATTTATCTACATTGAAGCCCATCCTATTACCGTCCGCCCACTTCTGTAGTCTGCCTAAATCTAATTGCAGCCTCTCTCTCCCTTCGAGCGTGCCTACCTCTCCCCATATCTGGGTGTCATTGGCAAACTTGGACAACGTGTTTTCCACCCCCTCATCCAAGTTGCTGATGAAGATGTCGAACAGTGTAGGCCCCAGGACCGAGCCCCGGGGGACCTCACTATTCACATCGCTCCAGGTCGGGTACAACCCGTCCACCACTACTCTCTGGGTATGCCCCATCAGCCAATTTTTGACCCATCCAACTGTGTAGGCATCAATGCCACAGTCGCTCAATTTATTAATGAGAATGGGGTGAGAGACGGTGTCAAAGGCCTTCTTAAAGTCCAGAAAGACTATGTCCATGGCGACGCCATCATCCAGGGATTTAGTTACCTGGTCATAAAAGGCCATCAGGTTGGTCTGTCAGGACCTGCCTTTGATGAACCCATGTTGATTTCCCCTGGGCATGATCTCCCCTGCTGGCCCCTCAGAGATGTGATCCTTCATAATTTTTTTCAAGGATTTTTCCCCAAGAATGATGCGAGGCTTATGGGCCTATAGTTTCCTGGGTCCTCCTTTCTCCCTTTCTTATAAATGGGGACCATATTAGCTAGTTTCCAATCTCTGGGCACCTGGCCCGTGGACCATGATCGCTCTTACAGCTGGGCCAAGGGCACAGCAATGACCCCCGCCAGCTCTCTCAACACCCGTGGGTGGAGGGCATCAGGGCCTGCAGATTTAAAAACGGAGGTAAGGCGTCTGATCTTAGGCAGGCTCAGGAGTTGGGGTCCATTGCACAAAGTTGGCAGGTAATAGTTTTGCCTACTCTGTTGTCCTCCTCTCTCCCTTTCTTGGTTGATTTTATAATTGCCATACATGTGTGTGAAATCAGTGGGCAGGATTTTACCCTCTTTTTACTCGAGTATAAATCAAGAGGGACTAAAGCTTTCTGGTTGAACCATTCAGGAAATCTGGATTGGCTTTTATGGCTCCAAGGCAGTGGAGCAGGATGGCTTAAAGCAAGCAGTTGACAGAATCTCATTAGTGGACAATGAGTCTCCTTCACCATTCTCAACTTCATTGCCTTGATTTTTCCAATAGAAAAGACAAAGACAGCTTAAGAAGTCCTTCTCTTTTACTTGTTCCAAGGAGGCAGCTTGGGTGATTTAATGAGTTTTTCTCCATTTCTGTGACTCTCAGTGGAGCCCAGTTAAAACTGGTTTGCCAGCATTCAGTGCGGAAATTGCTTAGCTGAGCATTGTTGGTTGGGAAAAGTCTGTTTTTCAGTAGCATGTACTGTGACTTAATCTTCTGCCTTTCATGTGTATCTGTCTCTTCTCAGAGGGCCCCCTCGTCCACGTCCTGCTCCAGTGGCTGGAGAGGCTGACAACAAGGAGAACCAGCATGAGGCCAATGCTGTGAACCAGCAGTCACCTCGTCGTGGTTATCGTCGTCCATATAACTATCGGCGTCGACCTCGCCCACCCAATGCTCCATCTCAAGATGGCAAAGAGGTGAGGGTATTTCTCACAGTAGAGGAGAGTTACTGAGTGAGATTTTTCCCAATATGTTGCCAAGCTGGTGGCTACAGGTATATAATATGCCTTGTACCTCTGCTGTAGGGAACAGACTGCCAAGAAGGGTGCTTAATGTGAGGTTGATTATTTGATGTCACCACCAATTAGAAACTAGTTTGAGAACTACCAGCTACCTTGCATAGGATTCCAAACATCCAGCTTATGAATTGACTGATCATCTTGAACTGAGGCCAGATTGGAACCAGTCCTTTTGAGGTGATGGACCTCTTTCACACTTCTCAGTAGCCATCACTTTCCAAAAGCAAGTGGCTGTCCTGAATAGATGCCTTGGAAAAGAGGCTTCTAATCCCATTTACCGTTCTGCTTGAATTGGCCAGTCTTGGGGACCTAACTACAGAGCACAAGCATCTTGGTAGTGAAATATCTGTATCTTATTATTATTATTATTATGAGATGGCAGGTTCCCTTTGTGTGTTGGGGCTGAGTGGAGCTCCTTTCCAAAAGAAAAAACTGTAGTAGCATTACAGTTTCTAAGTTGTGATGTTATCACAATAGACCTGAGAAGGGTGGTGGAAATTGTTCTTTGCCTGCTTAAATATATTTTTCAGACCAAGGTGGCCGAAACATCAGCTGAGAACCCTGCTCCAGTGACCGAGCAGAGTGGTGCTGAGTAACATTTGGCTCCCCAGACACCCTGTACAATCCATCAGGTAAGGCTTATAAAGTACTCCCAGGTTTAGGTGAAATGTTTTCTTTCCAGCTGTGACAAACTGGCTGTCTTACTTGTTCCCCTGTGCATTGAGGTAGAACTGTTGCTACCAACAAGTTATAGAATCAGAAAGCTAGAGTTGGAAGGGACCTCAGGAGCTCATCTAGTCCAACCTCCTGTTCAAAACAGGACCATCCCCAACTAGATCGTTCCAGCCAGGACTTTGTCAAGCTGGGTCTTAAAAACCTCCAAGGATGGAGATTTCACCATCTCTCTAGGTAACCCGTGTCAGTGCTTCACCACCCTCCTAGTGAGAGTTTTGCTTAAAATCCAACCTAAACCTCCCTTGCTACAACTTGAAACTATTGCTTCTTGTTCTGTCATCTGCCACCACTTGCTAATAGGCAGCACTATTACATAGGGATTACAAATTCTACAAAAGGTTTGTTTTTTTCCAGACATATTAAGCGACAAACTGCACCCATTCCAGAGTGAAAGACACATGGATGTTGGGGGTGGGGAGGGGGGGCAGGAAAGAATCAGGGCAACATACAGGAATGAGGCTTCTTGAAAGGGGATCTGCATCCTAGAGCTCTACAATTGCGAACAAACAACACTTCCTGGCTACAGTGTCCAAGAGGATGCTGTCAAGTGATACAGAAGTGGATGACAACTTGGGCAGCAGTGACCACAAGTATTTGAGTTCAGGATCCTGACAAAATAACAAAGGAGAGCAGCAGAGTAAGGACCAAGGACTTCAGAAAAGCAGACTCTGATTCCCTCAGGGAACTGATGGGCAGGATCCCCTGGGAGGCCAGTCCTGGGACAGGGAAAGGAGTATTTTAAAAGAAACCTTACTGAAGGAGCAGGAACAAAGCATCCTGTGTGCAGGAAGAAAAGCAGATATAGCAGGTGACCAGTCTGGCTTAGCAGAGCACTCTTTGGTGAGATCAGGGTCCACCCCTAGTTCTGGATGTGTCTTTGTGGAGAATCCTTTTTTCCCCCCTTTACACCTCAGATTGCAGCACATCCCTGTTCTCACGTGACTCTCTAATTTATGTTTGCTCACGTGTCCCTTCTTTTCATCTCCTTTCTAGTCTTCAAATGGGAGGAAGATCTAGGTCTCACAAAGAGGTGCAAGATCAGACAGGATAACTGGGATTTGGAGTGAGGAACAGGGCTGGAAGAAAGACTGCCTGAGGGCAAAGATTTGGCAGAGAAGAGTCCTGAAAACATTTCTGGAGATTTAGCTTTAGAGATTAAATAAACTTGAGTGCAACTCCATTGGTGTCGAAATGAATTGCAGCCGCAGGACTTGATCTTTCAGGTTTATCGAGTGATTCAGAACTTGATGGTAACATGTACAGGGAAACCATTAATTTGAAATGCAACAAACCAAAAAAATAGCAACTTTGAAATAAATGTGCCCATAGTAATTTGCACATTTGAAAATTACTACAGTGTGTACAGATTTGGTTGTGCAGGAGGCCATGTGGGCTTTACATAGAATATTAACAGAAAATCTCCTTGTATAATAATTGTTTCAGTTTTGTTTTCTGTATACTGTTCTAAATTTTAGCATAAGTACTCAAATACACAGAAGTATTTTTCAAGAGTGTATGTTCATCTGTAGTGAAGGCTATATGAGAGATTAGTTCAAAGGTAAAATGCTTGCAATTTTTAGAATGTGGTTCATGGGGCTGGGCCCAAGCAGAGGCAGTGTTGTTTTCGAGCCATGGTGACCACACAATCCAGCATTGCTCTGTGTGTGTGTGTGTGTGTGTGTGCACGCGCGTACACCAGGTATTCCCCCCGCCAGCGTCTGTGTATTAATTAGCCCCCCCATTTGCTACTGAAACTGTTCTTGTCAAGTTCTGGGAACTTCTAAAAACTTATATGTAGATGAGGCTTGGGGCTACCTCCACCCCACAGAGGGCGGGGCTACACCAGTCATATGTAACAGGCTGAGAGGGGGAGTGACAGAGCCTCTCATCTACATAAATATTTGGTGAGGTTTGCTGATAAATAGGAATAATTGGAAATGAGGAAAAAAGGCATTGCTCAGCTCTAGAAGTGAAGAGTAAGTTGAAATGTAGTTGTGATTCACCATGACTTGGAGGAAAAAAAAAGTTGCTGAGGGGGATGGAGTGCAATGGGTGCTATGCCTTCTTCAGCTGTGCTGCACTAACCTGTGTTTAGGATAGGTTCCAATAAGTATAGACCTTGGCTTTGTGTTGTGTGTTCTTTGGGCATGCTCAGCATCGGCTACATTTAACCAACTTTGTAGTTAGTTCCCATAACTGAGCATGTGCTGCTTATGGCAGCAGCTTAATGGTAGACAAAAGTATTTAGAGCTTTTCTTGCTTCAAGGTACTATAGAAGGACTTCAGATTTCAAAGTAATGAGGTTTTCCATATCTAAGGGACTAGGGAAGGACTGTGAATTTCAAAATACCTTTATTTTGAATTATCTGTATCCTAAAGCATACAAAAACCTATCTTATTGGCTGGGGAATGACAATGGTTTGAAGTTCTGATTGTCACAAAAACACATGAATTGTGATTTATACATGTTGTGAATACCATATCAGTGGTGTTTGTTCTGCCTGCCACACTTGACTCAGTGTATTAGTATGCAGATTCTGGGAATAATTTTAATACTCTCCCATAAGCACTTTGAATGCCAAAGTGATTCTGCATAGAGAGCAATATCATCATTTTGTAGGGCAATACTCTGGGACTGCTTCTGCTTCCCAGATTTTTGGAGAACAAATTTCAGCCAGTCACTTTCGGGGAACCTGTCTCCAATGTAAAATAAAGATGCTGAACTGGTTTAAAAGTGCAGCCATGTGCTGAACAAAGCCTTTAACATGGACAGCATGCTGTTAACTGCCAAAGTTGTGCACGGGTATAAGCCATGCTTGGATAGCTCTATTTATGCTATGTTGTTTGTGTCTGTACTTTAATTTTGGTTAAAAGTCATAATGTAGAGTAGCAATAAAAAGTTCTAGGAACTGATGAAGGGAGAATATTTGACAAAGTTAATAATTTTTGTGGTGTTTGTTGTTTTTTTGGCTGTCTTATAGGTGTCCTAAAGTGTAATTTAAAAAAAAAAAAAAAACCACCACCAAAGAAACATCCAAGCAATAAAACGAGAACAACAATGAAAACCAGATTTAAAACCTTCAAACTTAAAAGAAATAACTAAAATATACCAGCAGCTGAGATCCAGGGAACGCCTGCAAGAAAGATGAATGGAGAGAAAAAGAGAGCGAGATTCAGAAAGAGCGACCTCCCCAGCTTCAGCGGCAACTGCAGGGTTTTTTCTTAGAATTTCATCATTTTCTAGTATTTTTTTTCAAATTTTCTTCTGGTATCAGACTGAAAAAAAGAAAAGGGAAAAGACCCAACCAAAGAAATGAATTTTTAAGTCCCATGCTTTTTTAATGGACGCTGGTGCTAAAACCTCCCAGGTGTGATGAGTTTTTTTTTTTTTTTCCTTTCTTTTTATTTTGTGCCAGTCCTGCTTCATTGTAGGACACGGGGAGGAGAAATTTCCGCTTTCCTTGATAAGATCTATTTGAAAATGTTCAGCGTGGGTGACGTTCCTCACAAATAAAATGATTCAACATCCAGAAAGCAAACCAAGTTAAAATTAGAAGCGTCTTTTTCATGTTTACATTTAAAGTAGCCTGAATAATATTTTAATCTTTCAGTACTTGGATAACACTAGACCTATGTTACTTAACTTGCTCAAACACACTGGACACTGCAGAAATACTTGTGCAAGGTTACATATGGGTTATGCCTACCTCATGGGTGTCAAAGATTTGGTCCACAGGGATGCGGTTTGCTGCCTTATTACAAGCAATTGGCATGTGTGTTGGCCATGAGGAGTAGGGCATGAGTGTTGGCTATGCAAGGAGCCCTATTGTCTGGATCTGGCTTGTGAAGGTGATCAAGCTTGATATCTCCAGTCTACCTCATGCCAAAGCAGCTAGTGTAAAGGGGTTGTAAAGCAGCTGTTCAAAAAAACTATCCCAGTTTGCTGGCATGGAAACATGATCAGCTATAGCTCCCTAACCACAAAACCCCTGGTAACAAAGGCATGGTGTGAATAGGAATGGTTGAGTAAGATACTTCTGTGCCTTATTATTTCTATTGGGCATTGGGGCATAAACTGAAGAGTTCACTGCCACTTGAAAAGGGTGGAGTTTGGGGAAGGAGAGAGAGGGGTTAATAACTGTCAAGACAAGCCTCCACTCCAGATGAATCTCTTTATTTGAAATCCTATATAATAACTGTAAGATCTGGGAAAGGTTAAGCTCTCATTTTGGTGAGGGTTGCTTGTTTAGTACTTCCCCTTACACCTGCAAGCATTTTTTTTGTGATCCGGCTGCTAAAAGTCCCCAAATATCTGCCCAGACTTGGTCTGTTTCTCTCTTGCAAAGGCCAGTACTTGACTCCTGGTGCTGACCCGACATCAAACACTACTGTATCTCTCGGAAACATGCCAAATGCTTCAGCCTCTGCACTGTTCCACTCTGGACTTGCCTAACCCTCTTGGATATTAAAGCATCCCATATGTGCCTACTTCATGCACGCTTACCTGTACTTAACTGCCAAATTTTTCTTCAGCCGAATGCAAGCAAGATCCTCAGTTGAATGCTTTGAACTGTGGAAGATTAAATGGGTTAGTTCTGAACATGAGTGTAAGCACTAGCAGCAGAGGCATGGGGGGAAAGGGGTGGGGTGTTGCCTATGTCTCGGCTAATTTCCTTGCTGTATGTACAGACGGCTAAATTCAAATATCAGGTGTTCTGGGGATCTGTTTTCCTTGAATTACCTACCTCCCAGCAGGTGCTTCCAAAACAGTGAGACTGGAGTGGAGAGCTGAGATCCAAGACATCTTGCTCCCAGCTCCAGGGCAGGTAAATTGCAGCATTTTAGATTATCTTAAAACCCACTGGCTTGTTCATATACTGGGTAAGCAGGAGGCCCACAGGTTGCTTCTCAATTTATCCTGACTTCTGATTTGCAGTGGGAATTGCCTGTTCCTTTTAAGGATATTGTAGGGAATTTTAAACATGAGACTTTGGGTATGGACATGCATGGTGTCTATATGCCATAATCTGCTTTTCTATTGGTGTAAATGTTGAGTACAAACCTTCATTGATGTAGGTCACAAACCACTCCTATTTTCCTAGAAAACTTGGGAATCATTATAAGCTAGTGTTACTTACAAAAAGGGGTTCACACTAGTGTATTTATAGCTCTCCTCAGTTCCATACCTAGAATAAAGTGCTATTTCCAGAAAGCAAATACTTTCAGAAAGCTAGTCATTTGTCTACTCTGCACACTAGTGTAACTTTTATATTCATTTACAAAGCAGTGTAAGTTACACCACTGTAAATGTATGGCATGTTCCCACCAATTATAAAGTGGAAACTACTGGGTTTAAAGAAAAGTTGGAAGTGTTCTCCTACTTCTGTGCTGCTTCAGTTACTGTTTAGTCCTGACCTATACTCCATCTGCTATTCTAGTTGTGGGCCTTCAAATCCAGTGCTTCTCAGACTTTTTTAGACTCAAAGTACCTTTTGGAAAACATTAGCTCTTAACTTTTTCATTTGTTTCCTGACTACAGAAAAATAATAGAGCAATTCTTTTATTTCAAAGAACCCAGACCACAACACGTCAGAATATTTTTGACATCATCAATTCCTATTTGAAATATCTGGGTTTATTTTATGAATCACGTTTGCACACCAAGTAGTGCTAATACTGAGCAGTGCCCTATGTCCCCCTTGAGCATTTCCCGGCACTCCTGGGTGCTGTAACATACTGACTGGGATTCACTGATCTAACTCCACAGCTCTGCATATAGAGTTCAGAACTGTCCTGTAACATATATAATCTCTGGGTTGGGATAGGGAGTTCCTAACAACTGCATGTACTCCCGTACTGCATGCATCTTTCCCCCTGCAAATTTAGTCCTCCAAAATTGGAGTGTATGTTAAGAGGGGTAGTTGATTTTTCTTCGCTGGAGTAGAAGCAGGAAAGAAGAAAAACAAACCTCTAGCATGCCAAAATGACTGCCACTTCTCATGGGGTAGCAATCAGCAGGGTGAGAGGAGTCCAGTATTGGCTTTCTTGCAACTGCTGGTGAGACGGTAGCTTTTGGCCAAACAGCCACTGAGCTGAATGAGCTACCACATTAAGTGGGGTGGTATCTTGATGAGGCTTGTGGTGTGGAAGCAACACTATTTACAGTATTGTATATAAAGAACTAGTTATAGTAAATAAGTTGCTGTCTTGCCATAACAAGAAGTTCCTTCTTCCTCGCACAGACTTTCTTCTGAGATGCCACAATTCTTGCACATTGTTTCCAGGTGAACTCATATGTCACATGGTGGCCATGAGACTAGAAAAAGAGACTTTTGTCCATACTCTATTTTCCAAAGATGTGGGGTGTGGGTATATTATTTGTGGGTGTGTGGCATGCAAGAAAATACACTTTAAGACCTGCTAACCTGCATACATTATGACACCAATATGTCTGGGCCTATTTGGTATAATGCTTTCCCTTCCAGTTCTAGCATGCCATGGGATTAATCCATATTTGCTACATCAATAATAATAATAGTTAAAAAAAAAAAAAAAAAAAAAATCTCTCAATCTATTTTAGAACCCTATCCTATTTGGTGTTTAATGTCTTCAACTTGAGTAAGAGTATGCTCTTCAGCTTGTAGTTCTTCAGTTTCTTTGACTGCCAAATGAAAACACATTATTTCTATAAAGAAGCCAATCATTTAAATCCAGGGTTGTTTTACCAGTTCCCTAAATGGTTGTTAAAGTTGTAACTCACCTGACCAAGATTGTATTTTGAGTCTGTAAAGGAAGGACTGGAACCATGATGTTTGGACTTTTAGCTCACCTGTCTATCAGACTCCTGTATATGCAGCTTTCTAGTAATTTGTGATTTCCAGTAATGGATGGAAGATCCATTCATTCATTCATTCATTCAACTGTATCAAAGTGAAAGCGATTCATGAACTAGGCCCTAATTCACTTACTTACCCATGCCCTAAAATGCATATTTGTGACTCCATATTGCTGCCAATGGAATTATGCTTTTAAGTTAAGCATCTGCTTGAATGCCTTGTTGGCCTGAGTCCATAATGGGATAGAATAGCTAATAGCAACTCATTTAGCTAAAGGAAAAGGAATTTTTTTTTGGGGGGGTCTGCAAAACTAGGGTCCCTTTTCCACTTATAACTATGATGCTTGTATAGATATGGCTTATCTCCTGATGTAGTGTTAATCTAACACACACACATCAGTGTAAGTGCTTAGTTTTTCACTGGTCCTGAACCCCCACTTCTGAATCTGCCAGATTTTTGCTGTGTAATTGATTTGCTTTTCTGTTGTCCGGTGTCTTAGAGCCTGCTCTTGCCGTAAGTGTTGCCTTTCTATCATGTAATGCAATGATGGGGTATGTACAGTTTCTGCTCTAAGTTTACTTTTCTGCTAGAACATTCTTGCCTTAAACTTCTGAGAGTTGTGTTTAACCTTTTTCTAGAAGTTTACACTGCAGAAGATATTTCTGCCCTAGGTGCAATCTAGCCCTCCTCACCTGTAGGAGTGTTGCTGGTTTGTGGCTTGTGAAACAGGGAAGAGAAAATAAGAGTTCTATAGGATGCAATATGTTGTTTACAGATACTTTCAGACTTCATTTTCTTTTATCCATAGATATGTAGTCACAGAAAAACATGTACCCTGAAATGCACACAGTGAAATATTGTACCCCTCCTCTCCCCCTGGGGGGGGAGGGGGTGGAAACGTGCAAGAAATGTTTCTAGAAACATTAGGAAGTATTATATTTTCTCCCCTACACACAATCACCTGCAAAAAACCAGAAACATCCACATAGAAAAGCACTCTCACGTGTATGCAGATACTCAAAACAATACACACAGAAAGCCCACTCTAGAAACAACCACACACATTCACAACTGCACATACAACCTCTTAGATTTGAAAGAGTGAAACATGTTGGACAGCTAATACCTAAAATGAATCTATCAAAAGTTTAGGGGAGAGTGTTATCTGCCTTTCGTTACTTCGGTTATACTTATTGCATTCATCTTTCATGTGTGAAATTTAGAGAGAGACAGACTTGGGAATGGGTAGTAGTGATCAGCTGAGCAAACATCTGAGCTTTTCCATATCACCTTAGGTAAACAATTGTCTCTGTCCAAGATTTTTCTCAATAATTTTGTAAACATGAGCAGATGAGAGTGAACTCATAGCAATCCACAATGTCTGGTTTTATTTCACAGTGTCTAAAGCAAACAGACAACCTTCCTTCAAATGGTTACATACAATACAGGGTTAGCATAATCTAGACTCTTGAATTTGAATCTCAATAGCAGAATGCTAAGAATCAGAGTACAACTGAGATGAACTGCACTAGGTGCAGAGTTTAATTATTTAATCACATTTACATGGTTGGCTCCAGAGGTAATCATCCTGCTTGTTTCAGTTACCATGAAGAGCAAAAATAATGGGACAGTTTCTGGAATCCAATATGGCTAAGTTTTTTAGTAAGAAGAGATATGACTTGAAAAGCCCAGACTTCCCAGGGAAGT